GCAAGGCAAGGCAAGGCAAGGCAAGGCAAGGCCAAGGCAAGGCAGGCGCAAGGCACAAGGCAAGGCAAGGCAAGGCCAGGCAAGGCAAGGCCAAGGCAAGGCAAGGCAAGGCCAAGGCTAAGGCAAGGCAAGCAAGGCAAGGCAAGGCAAGGCAAGGCAAGGCAAGGCCAATGGCAAGGCAAGGCAAGGCAAGGCAAGGCAAGGGCAGCAAGGCAAGGCAAGGCAAGGCAAGGCAAGGCAAGGCAAGGCAAGGCAAGCAAGGCAAGGCAAGGCAAGGCAAGGCAAGGCAAGGCAAGGCAAGGCAAGGCAAGGCAAGGCAAGCCAGGCAAGGCAGGCAAGGCAAGGCAAGGCCCAAGGCAAGGCAGCAAGGCAAGGCAAGGCAAGGCAAGGCAAGGCAAGGCAACGGCAAGGCAAGGCCAAGGCAAGGCAAGGAAGGCAAGGCAAGGCAAGGCAAGGCAAGGCAAGGCAAGGCAAGGCAAGGCAAGGCAAGGCAAGGCAAGGCCCCAAGGCAAGGCAAGGCAAGGCAAGGCAAGGCAAGGCAAGGCAAGGCAAGGCAAGGCAAGGCAAGGCAAGGCAAGGCAAGGCAAGCAGGCAAGGCAAGGCAAGGCAAGGCAAGGCAAGGCAAGGCAAGGCAAGGCAAGGCAAGGAGGCAAGGCAAGGCAAGGCAAGGCAAGGCAAGGCAAGGCAAGGCAAGGCAAGGCAAGGCAAGGCAAGGCAAGGCAAGTTTATTTATATAGCACCTTTCAACACAAGGCAATTCAAGGTTGCTTTACAAAAATGAAAGACATTCAGACAAAGGCATTTCAAAACAGTAAAAGATAATAAAAGAAACATTAAAAGAAAAAATACATGAATAAAAAGTACATGAATAAAAGTTACAGTGCAGTTTAAGATATGAATAGTTCACACAGAAGTTCCACTTTACTGATGAACACAACGGCTCAGTTTCAATTAAAAGCAGCGACAAAAGATAAGTCTTCAGCCTGGATTTTAAAAGTAGTCAGAGTTGCAGCGGACCTGCAGGTTTCTGGGAGTTTGTTCCAGATATTTGGAGCATAATAACTGAACGCTGCTTTCCCATGTTTAGTTCTGACTCTGGGGACAGAAAGCTGACCAGTCCCTGAAGACCTGAGAGATCTGGATGGTTCATAATTTAGCAGGAGGTCAGAAATGTATTTTGGGCCTAAACCATTCAGTGCTTTATAAACCAGCAGCAGTTTTTTTAAATATATTCTTTGACACACAGGAAGCCAGTGTAAAGACTTCAGAACAGGAGTGATGTGATCCACTTTCTTAGTGTTAGTGAGGACTCGAGCAGCGGCGTTCTGAATCAGCTGCAGCTTTCTAATAGATTTTTTAGTGAGACCTGTGAAGACACCATTACAGTAGTCCAGTCTACTGAAGATAAAAGCATGGACAAGTTTTTCCAAATCCTGCTGTGACATTAGTCTTTTAATCCTAGATATGTTCTTTAGGTGATAGTAGGCTGATTTAGTAACTGTTTTTAATGTGACTGTTGAAACTCAGGTCAGAGTCCATGACTACACCTAGATTTCTGGCTTTATCTGTTGTTTTGAACATTGCAGGCTGAAGCTCAGCGCTAACTTTTATACGTTCTGACTTGGCTCCAAAAACCATTACCTCAGTTTTGTCTTTGTTTAATTGGAGAAAGTTCTGACACATCCAGTCCTTGATTTGTTCAATGCACTTACTCAGTGTTTTAACTGGAGAATAGTCTCCTGGTGAAATGGTTATGTAAATTTGTGTGTCATCCGCATAGCTATGACTATGGTAACTTATTTTGTTGTTTTTCATTATCTGAGCCAGTGGTAGCATGTAGATGTTAAAGAGAAGAGGCCCCAAGATGGAGCCTTGAGGAACCCCACATGTCATATTTGTCAACTCAGATTTGTATTTACCGATAGAAACAAAGTTGTTTCTGTCCTTTAAGTAGGATTCAAACCAATTTAGAACTGTTTCCGAAAGTCCCACCCAGTTCTCCAGTCGGTCTAGTAATATGCTGTGGTCAACAGTGTCAAACGCAGCACTGAGATCTAATAATACTAACACTGAAGTTCTGCCACTGTCTGTGTTTAAGTGGATGTCATTGAAGACCTTTACAAGAGCAGTCTCAGTGCTGTGGTTTGGACGAAATCCTGACTGGAACACATCGAAACAGTTATTTAAATGCAAGAAATTACTCAACTGTTGAAAGACTACTTTTTCAATGATTTTACCTAGAAATGGGAGGTTTGATATGGGCCTGTAATTGTTCATTACTGAAGCGTCTAGATTATGCTTTTTTAAGAGCGGTTTAATGACTGCAGTTTTCAGGGCCTGTGAACAACCAGCTTGAACTCTATACTTCTTATTTTAAATAAAGTCTTCAGCTCACTCTTTAAAGTTTGGACACTGTCTGCCTCCCTAATGAAAACAGGAAGTTGGTTCCAAAGAGAGGGAGCTCGGTAGCTGAACGCTCTGATATGAGAGCAGATGCAAATATGTGTAAAAGGATAAAGTGTTTATTCCGAGGCCGGGATTTCATTCCTCCCTGGATAAGTGGAGCAGTAGAAGTCAAGAGGGTGGTTTGTGTTCAGCAGCCTGATGTGTCCTCACAGTGGGAGCAGAGGAAGCTCCTGGTCCTGGCGCCTTACACAGAGAAAATCAGCTGTCTTTATTCTCCCTAATGCATTATTGAACGCTATTTTTTGCTGCTGCACTCCAAGAACAAAGGTATTGCAGTTGTCATTTTTAACTTTACAGACAGAATGGGGAGGATATTTTTGGGAGTCCTTTCTTGTTTTCCTCTTTCTCTCCCTGAAGTTCCCCAAGACTTGTCTCCCCTCGAGCATTTTTTGTCTTAGCATCTGCCAGTATGATGAGTCGAAAAGCCTTTTGTTATCGTGCTGTTTCAAAAGGGCCATCATAGGTTTGGAAATCACCCATTATACGCTGGCTACTTTGCTCCATAGAAAATGTAATCATGATAAGATTTAAAGCTGACTTCTGCAGGCTTTTCATTCATTCCCCTTTCATTTTTTCAGTTTGATCTTCTGTTGCAGTTTTGAACGTAATTCAGACTTCACGTCTTGCTGTTCTATCTCCTTCCTGCTTGTAGCGTGCAGCTCTGGCGAACGCATCAGTATGTTAAGTCAAAATTGCACGGCTGAATTATCTCGCGTTCTCCTTCTCTTCCCTCCACTCTCAAACTCTCCAGACTTCTTGCAGAGTTACTGAGATGTTACACTGTAGGCCTAACTGTGCAAGTCTGGATTTTAGGTTACAAATCCTCAGAGCCCAGCGGACCAACAAAGCGAGACCCTGAGTCACCAACTGCTCTGTGTGTGTGTGTGTGTGTGTGTGTGTGTGTGTGTGTGTGTGTGTGTGTGTGTGTGTGTGTGTGTGTGTGTGTGTGTGTGTGTGTGTGTGTGTGTGTGTGTGTGTGTGTGTGTGTGTGTGTGTGTGTGTGTGTGTGTGTGTGTGTGTGTGGGTGTGTGTGTGTGTGTGTGTGTGTGTGTGTGTGTGTGTGTGTGTGTGTGTGTGTGTGTGTGTGTGTGTGTGTGTGTGTGTGTGTGTGTGTTTGTGAGGAGTGAGGCTGCAAGAGAAGGGAAAACTCAATTAATGTCATCCTCACACAACAAAGCAACATCCAGGGCCTCTCTACCCCAGGCATATAATTAAAACATTTCGCCCCTACATTTGTTTTTTTCTCCTGGAAGCAAATAGATTCAGTCTGTATGTAACCTGCGCCGTGATTAATTACACAACAATTATAACGCCCGTCAGTTCCCAGTGAGGTTAGTCAGTAAATTCCTCCCTTAGCTAGAGGAGGTAAAGAAGAGCCTGTTAGAGTCATCAGATGATTCCTTCTTACCTGATAGATTTTACAGTCCAGTATGTCCCAACATCCTTGGGGTGCGTCCCCAGATGAACATTAATCACCTCAGCCTTTCATGTTAGACGGGCTGGTAGAACTGGTGGAGCTGCTTAATGGCCAGTAGCCCCAGTGGATGAACTCAGCAGGTTGTAAATGTGTAACACTCCCTCCACCTGCCTTTATTCTCCCTGACTGTTACAGTAAAAACAAGTGAGCTGGAAGTCAACAGCATGAAGTTACTGGACATCATAAAAATGAACTATGTCTTCATTTACATTGATATATCATGGCTAGAGCGTCAACGATAAGGTGGCTTGTTTTTAAGATAATAGCCAGAAAATCGATCACCAACTTTTGGGGAAATAGTTTTGTAATTGTATTGTAAAATAATTCTGTTTTCAGCCTCAAATTCTGGGGATGTACTGCTTTTCTCTCTATTATTACATATTCAACTGATTAGCTTTGGGTTTTAGACTGACTAAACAAGACATTTAAAGATATCTCCTATTAATTTGCCCATTATGACATTCATTCATTCAAATAATCCTTTGTTGCACCACTAATCTTGACTCAAAATAACATATACCGAACAAATCGGGTCCTTTTTGACAGATTTGGAGAGAGAACATGGCAGGTATCAAACTTAAAAGTGATGGAAGTTATTTGATGAGAGGGTTTCCATTTTGAATCCCTTAACACAAAAAACAACCTCCAAACTGTCAGGATGCCCCTGAGGAAGAAACCAAAACCCCAGCAGAGCCAATGACAGAGAACAGAGCAGAGAGCATCTGAACTGAGAGCATCTGTGGAGGTGATTAAACGATTCAGAGCCCAGAGGAAAAAGGTTTAAAAAGGTCACAACCAGGACACAATCCAGAGCAGCGATCATCTCCTAACTCCGTCCTCTTTACTGCTGCGCGAGTTTTGAATTTTCAAACGACATGTTATGTATTCCCAGATCCCTTCTGCAGCTGCTCCTGTGGTCGGGCAAGTGCTCTGGGCTTTGGTTTATGTAATGACTGCAAAGCAACACACACACACACACACACACACACAGCTCACTGAGTTGCTGCATGGCCAACATTGTGGCAAGCCGAAACAGAATCATTACAAACACTTTCACTTATTAAATTGGCGTGCTGCTGGATGCAGGACTTTATTTTGTGGTTCAGTTTAAAGGAGAGTAAACACTGGCCGATCCTGAAACATACAAGCCTCTCCTCGGTACAGAAATAGATGGTACCAGCATGTACAAACCTCAATGTAAAATGAATCTTGACAACACTGCATGTACTATATGTGTGCAAAGAACCAGCACATATGCAAACTGACCACAATTCAATAATGATCTTTTAGTGAAGGCACCTCTCACATTTGAGTAAAAAGGACTAGAGAAGGTAGTAAACACATGTCAATGTTATGTATCCTTTCTTAAATTCTGCACATTGTGTTGCTCCGTTTAGATTTTACTGACAGCATGGCGTGACAGAAAGAAAATCCTTTTAGGTTGTCTATTAAGTACACACATTTGTGACCTTAAAGCCCCTCTGTAAAGCGGCCATAGGTCAGCTGAGGGCAGAATGAGACTCCATTCATATGTGCACAGAAACCACGAAACTAACATGAACCAAAAATAGGTGGTCATGCCCTCCAGATACTGGATGCACAAAAACAGAGAAAGAGCTCCACATAGTGGGCATAGAAGGAACAAGGTTTAAAAGAGGAAAATATACGCATGTGTCAGTTAACCTTGAGTAAATTATTATTATTAACGACTATTCGTTTCTCCGACAGCATCTCGTGAAATTGTAAAGACACTGGTTGATTTTCTTTTTGAATTGTTCTCTGAAGGTCACTTTCCGTTGATTGCCTGCCAGTCTGTGTACTTGAGCGTCAGGCCTGTAAGAAAAAAATACACAAATTCAATATTTATTAAGAATTCCACATGTTTCAGACCAGCTGAGTGTTCACAATGGTGCCACAGAGGACGTATGCTGCTATTAGCACCAGTACAGATCTAACTACGTGATTAACACCTTCTTACTCGGGCAAAGGGTCTTTGTCAGCGGTGCCTTCACTTGCATGAGCTCTGGGTTCTCCTCAGAGTCTTTACTGGCGTGGAAGTTTGTGAAGTGCAGCGCGGGCCACCAGCCCTGTCTGTCAGCCATTTTTGTGAAGACAACGTCCTTCCAGTCTTTTCTGTTTGAATACACAAATATATACAGAAACATTTTCTTTAACAAGAATATGTGGCAGATTAAAAAAAATGGCAGTCTTTTACAAACAGCCTACAATTTTCCAAACATTTTCAACGTACTCTAGCTGTAGTTTCTGAATAATGGCCTCTAAACGCTTCCACACGACCAGGTTGCTCCTCCAGCAGGCAAAGTCCAGCATCTCCAGAACAACTCCTAAAGCTTTCTGGAGGTCACTGCTTTTCTCTGTGGGGGGGGGAGGGGAGTATCATTATCCAGAGAAATCACAAACACAATTTTATTGAACCTACTCAAATGTTTTGTCATCTTAAACACAATAAGCATCCTAAAGTTTCAAATAAGACATCACTTAATTGAAAACAAGTTATATGAATCATTGATTATATGGTAAGACTTTTAAGTTGATCCAATCTGCTTTTACCTGACTGAAGCAGGGAAGAGCTGTACTCTAACATCAACTCATGGCTTGGGACCAACACATGGAGGACCTATGATGTGAGGAAGATAAGTCTTTAGGATGCAATAGACACAGTATATGTTTGTGGGCTTACTGAGAATCTTACAAGTTCCAGTTTTACAATGTTCATATATATAAGGTGCAGGCTGTTTTACATGGATACTCACAGTTTAATGTCTTTCATTATAACATCAGTATAAATAATTATAATATACAGTTATACCTTCAATACTTTCATCAGTTTCTTCTCTGCAGTATCGCATCGCTTTAAGTACTGATACAGGTAGACATGCGCGTTGGGATTAGGTGGAAAACTGTTGTCATACGCGTAATCATTCAGGACTTTCAAAGCCTCCTCGTGATCCTCGTAGAACTCCAACATCTGCCAAAATAAAACAGTTTGGAAATGTTTCTTGCATTTGGCCTGAAATGTAAGAAAATATGGCTTAAAATGTTTAATGCATTATCATAAGATTGTTTCTGATTAATTGTGTTTCATCTTGTGATATTAAATATATATTGATTTGATAAAAAAGGCAGTTGGGAATGTTCTTACCTCAACGTAACACAGTATGAAGGGATCCCAGATGCCAGGATTTTTCAAAATCTCCTTTAGATTCACAGAGGCCGTTCTGAAGTAGTTGCGTATGTCTTGGTTCTCAGCGGAATCTGAATGTTCTGAAACAGTAGGATCAGTTTACAGCAACAGTAAAGAGATTTTTCAGAAACAAATAGGTTCTTATATAACCTATTTGTTCTCAGTAGTTACCGAGGCTGGCCTGTAGGTGGCAGTGTGACATCACACAAGCACTTGCTGCATGTCTGCGTAACTGAGACGGGTAAATAAGAGATGCTCTGGGTGTTAACTGTGTATCAGTTTACCAGTGGAGGAGTGAGTACACTTTTTGTCACACCAGATGATGTAATCCAGTAAACTCCTGTAGGCCTGGATCAGTTTGGTCCTCTGAAACTGAGCGGCTGACTCCTTCCCGTGCCTCCAGCTCTCAGAGACAGACAGCTGGCGCTTTGCCTCCTCGATGTGGCCGTGTAGCAGCAGGTGGAACGAATGCTCCAGGCAGATCTAGAGACACACAGGAAGAAGGTCGATACATGTTTTCAAAAAATAAGTGTGTGCATTTTGCAGTCAGGTCTAAGAGCTCACTTACCATCAGGTAATGTCTAACTCCTGAGTGCTTCATTCTTTCATAGATGTTGTTGTAGTCTTCCAACTTTGATTTGGGGTGATGGTGAAGGATCTCAGTGCTGATTCTCCAAGTAAGCTAGGGTGGGAAAAGAATGTTAATATCAACGACTTGATTACAGTGATTTATAATTGTTAACATAACTGATACTTATGCTTGTATTGTTAAGGCGAGACACCCCAGGTGAATAGGGTAATTTTTTTAACTTAAATTTAATCAGCTAGAAATTTCTCCAGTTAATTACTTACAATAAGGCAATTGTCTTTTGTATTACAAGTTTTCTGAAATAGCATGTTTAAATATGCAAATTATCTATTATCTCATTAAATATGCACATATTTTAACACATTTCAGGAATCGAAATCTGAACTTTGGATATAGCCAGATTCAAAATTCTTGTTTCATTTTGTAGTCATATTAGTATCTAAGGCTTTTACAGAAGGGATATTGGATATCTCTTTTTATCACTCCATAAATCAGAAAATACTGTCAACAGCCCTAAAATATCCATTTTCGCCATGTTTTTAGGTATACAATGTTGTATAATTCAGGCTATGAATTATATATGAACAAACCCTTCTGTAAAAGCCTTCATAATATTGATAGGAATATAACTGGAAGGTTTGGTGAATGTACGTGCTACTGAAGTTGAAATTTCGAACTCAGAGTAGGAGAAAAAACTCATTTTGAGAAAACGACCTTTAAAGATTGCAGTGAGGCGCTAGCTAAACCCTCCTGTTCTTTGGATGACAGCTTGCGCCTCGACGCACTCCGTGAAGGTATTTCATGTACGGGGTCATTTTTTTTAATAACCTTGCTTCGTGCAAGTGACAATTGTTGTCGTCTTCTCTGTGAACGTTTTTTTCGCCGTTCTTTTGGCATTTTGAGATTTCAATTTCTAGCTGAAAGCTAACCAGGAAGTGTTTTAGCACACCACGTGACGCATCTGAACGAATCACGTTGTCAGAAATTTACACCAGCCAATGAGATTTCGTTTCTTGGTTTAAGACCCCTTTGTGCTTTCACGATTGGTTGCTGATACAAAGGAAATAACCATATTTGGATCGGATGAGATTGTGCAGGAGAGACGGAGCTTTCCAGCGATACCTCTGTTGACATGGTGCAAACAGCGGTCGCGGTACTTTATGTTACGTTAGAATGCTAACTTTTGGTGAATTTAGGAGAAATATACAGACGCAAATAGACAAACTATAGTAAAATACACACTTAAATGTGTATTTTGTACGTTTTCCTTCCAAAAGCCTGAAAGAAAACATATTATGGAATCAAAATAGCTCAAAATTGACCAGTACTTGAAAAACGATGTTTTTGCCTGCCATTGATGAAGCACATAGGACAATTGAGAAGTTATTGTTTTTGAACAAAACAAATCTGCCCTCTACATTTAACTGTTTCCAGAAACAGCTCCCTGCCCTGTTAACTGCAACCTTCCACTTTTTTTGACTGTTATTATTACTAAGACTTTACTGGCACAAACTACCAGTGTTTCCCCTATATACATTCAGCAGCGGCGCAGCATGCCAAAAAAAAGAATTTATTTTATTTTTTAATACATTAAAATAATAATCCGTGGCCACACAGACTCTATGAGCGAGCGAGACAGAGAGCTAGAGAGAGCACACCTTTAACTATTTAATATAGTTGTTATAGGACAATAAAAAAACAGTTTAAAAGGGGAGTGATAGTCAAATGCATAAAGAAAAAGAAAGAATACTAACTAGGTAACATAAGATAAGAATAAACAAGTTTAAATGATTTGTTATTGGTTGTGATCATATTCTAAAGACTTTTGGATTATTGAAAAGCTCCCTTTCATCTGAGTGTTGAGAGCTGTATCCATAAATTCATGTTGTGCTCAAAGTGCACCAGATTGATGCATTTCACTTCAACATTAAACTTTCTTTTTTTTTTTTTAAATCGTCCCCGGACCCCCCTAGAGGATGTGAGGTCCACCCCCAAATAAAGCAGGTTAAAATAATTAAATTGCATACATTTTATTTTGATTGTTTTTTTATGTGTGTTTTTAGTTGTGTTCAATAAAGGTGATTTAGCAAAAATTCACCTGTAGAGCCTCAAGAGCCTTTCTTGTGCTGGCAGACACATAGAAACATATTGGCGGGGCGCACTTCGCACGTGCACACACTAAAAAATTCCATGCGCTCCGTGCTCTCATTTAGCTGGACCCGCGTGCCTTAGCACCGCTGCTATGACTCCATCCTAGGGGAAACACTGAACTACAGTATATCACTAATGCAGAACATGTGTAACATATCCGTCTGGTTTATGGTCTTTGAACAACAGGGGGGTTTGTGTGCACCTGAAGCCTGAAGGAATGAAAAATTGTCTGGAAAGAATCAATGCTTCATAATGGTAATCTCCCCTTCACTAGTTTAAAGAAACAGGGCTTTAGTGGAAACTTTGGAGAACATGAGGCATGCTGTCCTGTAGAAATACTATCTGCATGACTTTTCCTTTGGCATTTTGATCTGCCTTTTATCCCTATATTGCTCCTGTGCTGTTGTAAATGTCTCTACTTTGGGACGAGTAAAGGTTTTCTGATTCTGAAACATCCAGACAAAACCAAACCTACCTCTTTACATGACTGAGGTGGGCCATTGGTTGTATCTTCTAACATCTGTGGGTAACACGCCATATATTCTGCGGCCTCTTGCCACCTGTGATGCAACAGGGCGTCTCTGATGTGCTCCAGACACACTCTGGTACTCTGGTGAAACCCAGTTTCCCTAGGTGGCTCTTAAGATAAAAAAAAACAAGTTATTATTAAATGACATTAATGCACTTGTCTTAAAGATAATTAACTCCGGTTCTACAGCTTGACAGATATACAGGATATTTTTAGGCTGACACAATCTATTAAATTAAGATATTATTTCTAGATTAAATTAAACATATATTTGGCTTTTCTGTAATTGTTTAATTATATTATTAATTTGCCAAAATATAGATGTGTGAACAATAAAAAAAATATTGCCAGATACAATAATAACAATTTATCAGTTTATCACTAATAGGTTCAATTTTGGTAGATATATTCTCACCTGCATGCATGTCGAGATTAACCAGAGGGAGCTTTGATTTTGTTGATGCTTTTGAAGAATTGTCGTCAAAGGAATCATTGTCATCCTCCAAGTCTTTGACAGCCAGTAGCTCTCTATCCAATTCATCCATAATGAGCCCAGCAGTCAGACTCAGGTACAGCTGCCGTCTATCACTTTCTCTGATGCTCACTGTATGGTGTCCAGCTGCAGGGAGAAGAACAGTTGTGTAAAGCACACAACTCCCTTACAAGACATTAACATTGACAAATGTCCTAAGGCATGTCTGAACCATATTTTTTACTATTGATAAATCTTTCAAATATATTTTCTCGATCCATCAAATAATCTTTTTATCCTTTAAAATATCAGAAAAAGGTGAAAAATATCAATCGTGTCTTCAAAAGCTTTATAGGTTTGATTAACCTAAATCCCCAATATATTACATTTACTTTAGAGCAAGACAAGGAAAAGCAACAAGTATCAAACTTGAAAAGACAGAACATGCATTGACATGTTTTGCTTGATTACATTAACAATTATATTATAATAAACAATAGCTCGAGAATAGCTTTGCAGTCAACCACTTCTTTATTAAGCAGACAGACGTGATTACGGATGGACAAACACGTTGATATCATTGGTAGAAATGTTTTATGACCTTTAAGTCTTCAATTAATTTAAATTAACAATGTGTCACTGTAGTTTGAGGCTCACCTAGATGGTTATCTTTCTCGGCATAGTTTTGAAAGGGAAATATTCACCGACAAAGCTACACATATTAGTATTACTGTTAAATAAATATATCAATGTGAAATCTCTTAAGTGAGAAGAAGCCACCCTATTCTCTTTAAAAACAAAGCTGAATCAGCTCCTACCTGATGAGCAGTAACGATGTTTCTGAAGGTAAACAAAGCTAAAATAAAGGCTAAAGTAACCTGCATCGGCGAGCTAACGATATAATCCAATGGACAGCTTCTATTCCAAGTTTGAGTCTTTGAAAAATTAATGTTATACTGTGTTTTTGCCTCTTGGTTAATGTGTCTTCCACATGTTGTTAACAATGCTTTCAGGACGTTTCAGAACTGTAGCTACGGAAGTGAAAAAGCAAAGCTGCACGATTATTGGCTGCTGTGACCGGAAGAGGCGGAGCAAAGAGATTCTTCTTCTACGCTTCTTTTTATTACTTAGCCAATTTAAGGTCAAGTGAGGTTTATTTACTCCCAGTTTACAGGAGTACAGCAGGTACACAGAGATAGTTGTCAAATTTAAGTAGACGCTCTCTTTTATGCTAAATATGTGGAATATGGTAACAAAATGAAAACAAAAATACTAAATATTTAAGTAATTAAGTAATAATTAAGTAATACATTTATAAAAAGGTTTCTGTTTTTCTAAAGGGTTCCCATATTGTTTTATTAATGCCATATTTTCAGTATTTCTTCAGTGTGTCAACAAATGACATAGTTCACATGGAAAAAAACAATACAATTAGTTTGATTATAGCTAAACTTCAGAGGATATGGGTTGAAATTGGGCTTCAGTGAACATTTGTACTTGTTTCATTGCTATTTGTGAAAGCCTTGTTGTTTTTATGATGTTTTTATAAAATAATAACCTATTGTGTATCTTTTGTTTTGTGATGTTCTTATTATTTGCCTCTGTATTGTCAATATGCTCAATTATTCCATACTTATTTTATCTTACTTATCTATGTTTCATTGTGTTAAATAAGAATGGTTGGCTACATTTTGACATAATTGACATAGCATTATGTTTTTCTGTTTGCTGCAAGTCATTTACTTCTACTACAAACTTGATAAACATTAATAGGCGTATTTCTTTCTTCTATCCCATTTTCGGTGCATAGGGTTTAACTACATGTGCTTAAAAATGGCTCTGGGGAGATTAAATGTCATTACAATGGAGCTCATAATCCTCTGAGTGAATATTTCTGATTTTTAATCTCTTTTTGTTTTGATTTTTGTTGTCCTTGTTAACGTATTTGATGATTCCAGAACTAACTGCATAAACCAAATGATGAAACTGATTTATTTACCAGTTTTTCTCTTCATCTTTGTATTGGGTTGAGGTTACTTCACACAGTCACATGAAGCAGCCAGATCCCAACCTTATATCCTGTGTAAACCTATCCGTGCTACACCCAGCCGGATCTCTGCTGACGTGTCGGCTCCTCCAGCAGCAGCGGAGTCAGCCAGGCAACACAAACTGCCAACATGGCAGCAAAACACTTTTACCGACAGGGATTTTTATTACTTTTATTTAATTTTATTGCAACTGCGGCCTTGGAGAAGAGGTTCTCCGACCTGAAAAGATGCGCCGATGAGGAGTGCAGCAGTAAGTTTGCTGGCTTGTTGTTACTACATCAAGGATGCAATCTTCCCACATCCCTGCAGCTAGCCATAAACTGCGCCTTATCTCTCGACCTGTTGCCAGTCGATATTCGCGACCTGTGTAACCTTCTGTTGTAGTTCAGATGCAGTGTGTGCTGCTCATTGAAATCAGGGCAAGCTAATGTTAACATAAATTATTAGCTTTGGAGGGGGTTATTCCCGTAATGTTGGCCGGTTGCCTGGCAGCTCCGGCCTGCCCTGCTGGTGTTTAGAGGCTAACGTTAGCAGCTAATTAGCCACCGGCCGGCTTTGGGCAAAAGCTAATGTTTTCTATTGTTATCTTTATCTTCTCTCCTCTTATATATTGTTACTTGAACACAGACTAATGTTACTCCAGACTGCGTAGCAGTTGAAGTAGCTCACTCTTTACAGTATATGTAACGTTAGTCAAGGTGATATCTGTTCAATGTCTTTTTAACAGTGTAGTGAAAATTGTTACTTAATCACCATTCAATCAAATGTAAAGGCACCCAAGTAAGCTACAGTAAAAGGTTAGTTTCCAATTGCTGTTATGCTTGCTAGCATGATAGAAATATAAACAACATGTAGCTACAATAGTTAAAAACATATTACATTGCTCTACAAGCTATACATTTAAAGAAAACACGAGCGGGCAAAGGCAAATAGGAGATGATACAACTACAGTGCGAGAACAACCATGTTCAAATTGATTTAGAAATAACATTGTTGGTTCTCAATAAGCCTCTTCAATCATAACACTTAAATTAACATTATGGTAGGATCTCTTATTATTTAATGTTAACTGAGGTGGTCTATCAATCACATTTTGCATTGCTAACTAAATGTAGGCCAACCAACAGTAAAGCCTGATATTTACCTGTAATTATCACCAGAGGGTTGAAGAGGGATGATGTAGGGAATAAGAACTGTTATATTGGCTACTAATGAGGAGAAGTTAATTGTGAGTCATACAACAGTAAAGATAAGAGACATGCAACAAGAACGTTAGTTACTTTTCTACTCCGATGTTTTAAAACAATACCAAACCGGACTACAGACGGAATACAAATCTTTTATCATTTGGTTGTAGTACTTCCAGAGGCATTTTGAGCAAAGTATTGACATGCAGTCATTTAAGAGCAAATTAATGTGTTCCAGCTAAGGAGAATATGTGCTGTTTTGTTAATCTTCTATTACATTAAAACCACACATATCATTTTGGTCTATTAGGTTGACAAAACAAGCCATATAAATGGGTCAACTAACTTTGACTTGTAATATTATAATTTGTTGTTTTAGATTGACATCACATTTCTTTTGCAGTGCTCCTGATTCGGGGAAAAGCTCTGAAAGATTTCACGGGCCCAGATTGTCGGTTCCTGACGTTCAAGAAATCAGAAACAGTCTATGTTTACTACAAACTGTCGGGTAAAAGGCCCGGTATATGGGCTGGAAGTGTACGTATACTCTGGTTTATATTTTTTTCAAATTCGATAACATATAGGTTTTGCTTTGTATTCATGATCCTCAACATGTTTTTCTTATATCTTTCAATAGGTTGGAAGTAACTTTGGTTATTTCCCAGACAACCTTATTACAGTTAACCACGTTTACACTGGGAAAGAATTTGAAGTTCCAGCAGAGGTATCAACTTTTTGCCTAAAATAGAATTTTAAACTTTCAACATACACCTACAAACCCATGTATATTTGGTCATTTAAATTGTTTTTCTTTTCTTTTCAGGAAACGGATTTTGTCTGTTTTGACACCGGATTTGATAAGTTTGACAGTTACGATGTAGATTTACTTTTGGAGTCTTTACCGGAGGATAATGACGGTGAAAATAAGGGAACATCTGACCAAATCGTACTAGCAGAGGACGTGCAGAAAGAAACACAGCCATCAGAAGAGGAGGAAACTGAGAGTGAAAAACAAACTGAGAATCATGATGACTCTGAGGATCTTGATGTAGTCCCAGATGATGAAAGTGCCTCCTTACCTGAACCTGACGTGGCAACTGAATCACCTTCTACAGAAGAAGAAGAAGAAGAAGAAGAGTCTGAAACTGAAGCTACTCCCGATGCTCCTGAAAGCCCAGCAGAACACACAGAAGTGAAGAAAGAACATGCATTCAAGTCAGTTCTTCAAAAGGTTGTGTTTAGAAGGAGTGAAACCAAAGATAAAGCCACCAAACATGAAGAGAAATCTTTGCCCAAACAAGATATTGTTACAGAAAACGAACCAGTCACGATTTCTGAAGGAATGCAAATCCCTAAGTTAAAAACTACCTTCGGATCAACTTTCGATGCTGTTACCTCTGATGACGAAATCACCCGGAGTGTAACCCCGTATGAAGAGGAAGAGGAAGAGGGTGAATTTGTTGAGAATCCTCCCGAAGTTGACATTGATGTGAAAGACGAAATTCCATTGCTGTCTTTCTCTGAAGAAAACGTAAACACACCAGCATCGGATTCCCTCAAAAAGCAGGCAATTCCTCCAACTACACAGGAAGTTAAACCGGACGCTGCAGAGGAGAAGAACATGTGGACATCTATCGGGGAGGCCGTTTTTTCAGCCGTCACCGGTGGAGAGAGGACAGCAGCAGATTTGACCTCGGAAGAAGACGATGAGGATGAGGATGAGGTAGAAGACACTCCTCCAACACCCCTTGATGCAGCCGAAAAATCTGTAGAAGAAGAACCGGTATCTGTAGAATCACAACAAGAGCCAGAGAACATCGAGGCAGACTTGGTGGATCATGATGATGATGATGACGATGAGGGAGAAGTGATCGGACCTGAGGACGCTCCGGAGGAAACTTTAAAACCAACTGATGAGCCGATTCACCATCAAGTAGAAACAATATCCGTAGATCCGGAATCAGAAGATGAAACCGTTGCCATTCCTGATGATACCCAAAACTCTGATAATGAAACATCAGAGGAACCCATTGAGCACAAAGGGGAGGAAGAGGTCGATGATGAGGACTTTATACATGAGGCTGATGATGATGTAGAAAATAATATGGATGAAAAGGCAACTGTGATGGATCATAAATTACCTGAAATCGAAACACATCAAGACACGTTCACAGAGGAGATGCAATCAAATAATTCAGATATAAAAGATGATGAAAAGACAGTAGATGACACTCGACCTCATGACATACAGTTAATGACTGATTCAAACAGTAATGACAGTGAACCGGAGATTCAAGAGGAAGATCTTACAGAGGAGTTGAATGATGAAAAAGAGATAGAGAAAGCAGAGCAGAAACAAGAACTGCTTGAAGATGAAAATGCTCTTTCCTTCTCAAAATCAGATACCTCTGACGAAGCCTCACCTGAAGCTGCTCTGCCCACAGTGTCAACTCCAGAGCCGGAATACAGCGACAGCGTCATGAGACTGACTCTGCTCAGATACCATTTCTCCAAAGAGAAAATGGAGCGGTTCCAAAAGCTGCTCGGCCTCAGTCATCTCTTCAGAGTGGAGGCCATGTTCTCTGACTTGGACACGGAGATGCAGGTCAGTCGTCTCTCACACACAGGCACCGCACAAGATATTGAAAGTATCCTCGAGGGCATCCTGGAAGCCTCAGAGAATTCCATCCTGGACGAGATTGAGAAGATGCTGGATGGCCAACAAGCAAAACGCAACTATGTCGAACATACGGACAAAAGTAGTACCGACGAGGAAACTGAAATCCTGGATGACTTCCAGGAGCTCGCATTCGCCCTACGACAGAAGTATTCAACAGTCAGTGACAGCACGCCTCTGGCTTCATCAGATAATGATAAAGGTACGTTTATTTTTATATTCTAAACTTCTGATTTGGGCTTTTCATACACGGGTAAAGGGAGTTGCATCAGCTTATGTCAGAATTTGACACTGTGGCATGATGGCACACATGCAGCGCAGAGCATTCCTTTTGTGCACCGTTCAGACCAGTATCTTGTTTCGAGATATAACACCTTCGTCCTATTTAAAGGGATTGCATTTAACACCTAACATCAAAAGTGAACAATTGTGATTTATTTTTTTTTTTCAAACGGCACACAACACTAAATTCCAACTAATGAACAAAAAAACATAAAATACATGCTCCGTCTTACAGTCTCACACTTTTTTACTCTCTACTTCTGTCCTACAAAGTGCACTCTGCCGTGTTGTAAAAGTGGACTCTTTGTGGACGATAGTATATAATTATGCAATTTTGATCCACAACGACCTTTGTCCTTTGTCTGTAAATGTCAAGACATGTGTCTATGTGCGGTCCCTAAATCTGCTCACCTTACAGTTCAATGATTTCTCTTACAATTATAGTCATATTAACCTCCTACTAAACAAATACCCTGCTCCTTAAGAAAGCAATAGACCACACCTGTTTTTATTTGACCAAATATGTTTGATTAGTTGTTGGCAAGCTAACACCTCACAAAAGAAAACAAACAAAGTCTACGATCCTTTTAACCTAATACTTTTAAGACAGACCTGGATATTACCCCCTTCACTAATCCCTAATTGCTCTTCTTTTCTTGGTTTTTTTCAATGTTTTGTCGTAGATGAGCACATATTAAAGGTAAAAGATGACCAACCTGTCATTGTTGAAGAAGACAGCGTTGTCAGCGTCCCTGAGGCCAAGAGTGAGGACAACCTCACAGTCACAGATCAGGAGGAAAAGCCAGCTGTGAGTGAAGACGAGCCAGCGGTTCTGGAAGAGGTGCACCGTGGACCGGAGCTCAGTGTGGAGGAGGATGGCGGACACTTTAACAAAAACAAAGACAATCAGCTGAGCTTCAGTGCATCAGACGAGCTGCCTAAAGTTCCTCAAGCCACTCTGGAAAACCCCTTAGACCTGGGCCTCGGTGTCGAGGTGGAGCACTCGCCCTCAGGTTGGTTATCTGAATGACATCATCTTTTCTCATTTATATTAAGTTTATTGATCTGTCTGCAAAATGTTACTTACTGTATGCTACACAATACACCTTCTTGCTTTCCACGATGGAGGTTTTTCTACTTGGATATAAAGATAACTTGTACTTCTTTTGGCCATGCCCTCTCCCACATTTCTTTCAAAGATCACCAATTGTTTTTGCCCTGATCAGAAAAAGTAAACCTGTTCATAAATAAGTATTCTTGAGTTTTTCTTTACCTGTATTTTGCAGAATTGTTTCATAATTACATGATACTTTTAACCATTTTAATTGCTTGAGATGACTAACTGTAATGTAGTATTATTCACTCTGTCTGCCTAAAACACAGAACTGACAACGTTTTTGTTTCATCAGGATCTTTGGACCCCATGGAACCAGTGCCTGAAATTCCCAAAGAAGATGAAGGAGTGGGATTATTCTCCACTGGGATCGTTTACATGGGCTGCATCCTTTCTATAACGAAGAATAAAATTGCAGAGTGGGCTATTGAGGTAAGACTATATACTGTTGTTAGCAATTGCACACATATAATAAAATAGAAATATATGCAATGTTAGATAATGGAATGAGATAAATAGATAAATAGAAGTATACATACATGAAAACAGTGTATTAAACATTAGTATTTATAGCAGTCCATATCCATTATGTATGAATACAAACAACTAAAATGTTAGGATTTGGTCTAATAATATATATTTTTAACAAAAGTATAAAATAATATATATATATATATATATATATATATATTACTGGCCTATGATACGCCCCAACTGGTATCAGTACCCCAAAATCGTACTTAAGTACAGTACTTGAGTAAATGTCGTCAATACATCACACCATCCATTACTGACCTATTGCTCCTAAATCATTTTAACTGGCATCCTCCAGCACTTCCACATCATGCGTGCAGATCAAGTAAAGGGTCAAATTTCCGATTCTCCCTGAACGTCGCAGGGCCCTCCCCCCGTCTTCTTGTTGACTGTCGCCGTGTAGGCTGAAGTTCAATACAGCTGGTGTTCAGCTGGCTACTATTACAACTGACCGGCCTTATGTTGGCACAAAAAGGCAGACACAAGTTGTACTCTGTGCCTGCATTAATTTCGGTTCTTAATCTCTTGTTTTTGTTTTAAATGTAATGCGTGTTTTAAAGCTCCAGCTCAGCTAACGTCTCCTGCTTGTTTTTGATTAGTGAATGGAATACGACGACTCATCTGTTATAACCTTTAGCCAACCGTTGTTGCCAAGTAACCTTCTCAAATATCCATCTAACATTGTGGGTGTTTGTTTCACGTTTATTGAATTCATCCTCACGCAAGTAGGGTTTACCGTTAACGGCTAACGTCAGCTTAACTGCACGGTTTACTTAGCTTACGTGCTAGCAAGCTAACTGTCAAACTAGCACAACGTTCCTGGTGCTAGTTTCGTTTTGTTTTGTTTTTAAAAAAAAACTAGCATGGAGAGTGATCCATTAACCCGACCTGTAATCGCACCGGAGCATGTTTACATGATGTTTCTTAAGGAGCTTCAACATGTAAGTGAAAGACTGACGCATTCTGTGTATGTTTATTATGCTACCATGGCCTGCTGACGTGTTAATGAGCATATGGCTGATTCTCATCGACTTGCACGCTAACTACTCCTAAGTGTACTCACCAAACATTTTACTCACCATAGGATTCTCCTCTTATAAGTTGACGGAAGATCTTTAACTCCCAAATTAGTTGTTATTGTTTTCTCTGGAGATTACATTTTGAATTAATCTTAATATAATCGTTTAATGTCATTATACATGTACAATGAGATAAATGTGGTTGCAGTCCTGTGCATTGCTATTAGAAAGTCGACTTCTCAAATGAAGCTGGTTGAAAAGAGCATGTTTTTCTTTCCAGGCAGTGTAGTTTAATTTAATGTTAATCCCTTTGTTTCATTGAAGCCATAATGTGTGCGTGTGTTCCTCTCTGAGCTGCCACATGCTCAGTTCAAAGGTTTCTTTGCTGTTAATCCAATATTCAGGGTCATGACTGGACAGTAATGAAAACCCAAATCATGGTCCATTTTGGCTACTGATACAATTCACAAATATGTCAGTCTGATGGCATTAAACAACCATTGTATGTTGACTTATTCTATACAACACCAGGCTTGTAAATAGTTTGTGTCTGAATAAAGCACTGCATTGCTGCCTTTTCTAGTGCAAAACACAATAATCCCTCCATTTTTGTGTCAAAAAACATGTTTTCTACGGGATTAAACACGCGTGTGGTTGTGTAAGCGGCAGGATTCTTGTAAAAGAGCAGATTAGTTTTGTATGCCTGTTGCTGCTCTTGGGTTGTGTGCTTTTAAAACATTTCTGTTTGTTGCATTAGGCTTGGTTTTATTAGTATTGTATGGTAATGCTCTGATATCTTGATTAGCTTTCCTCTGTGTTGCGTGATAAGATCAATCAATTGTTAATTAATTTTGTTAATCAGATTTCAGTTAATGAATCTCAATATCTCAGTCTAGGGGTACGTGTACATATTGTAAGTTACTTTAAGCCTTACCTGAGATTTGAAGTGTCTTGCTGTGCTTTGACAAATATTGACTTCTGTCTCTATTTTTAGCTTGTCATAACACTGTTCACATGCAAACACAGCAAGAGGGGTACACCGATACATCCCCCTCATGTCTTAAGCCATAGATCTGCTATCTATCCAGTTGTATTTCATTATTCCTGACCATGTCCCACTCCTTTACTCACAATCTTAGATGTGTTTGTGTGTCCTCAGGTGATTTCATTACTGCCAGAAGAGTGGAAGCCAGGGGAAACCTTTTTCGGTTGTCCTTGGCAAGCTGTCATCATCACTGCTTTGGTTGGAGTAGTGACCTTCATCCTTTTCTTCTGGAGGACCGTGTTGGCAGTAAGTGTTGGAACATTACCGCTGCTCGAATTCAAGATGTTGTATTTGTATAAGCTTGATTAGGATTTGATTCATAATGCATTGAAATGTTAGTATTGGACCCTTTTTTATCGCAATTACCCATCATTTTGAGGTTAACATAATATATGTTTCTTTTCTGGATCATTTATACACTTTTCCTGATGTGATACATTTCTGAATCTACATAACCATTTAATTTTTTTCAAACTGTGTTGGTTAGACATCCAACTGATCTTTACTTTTTGCTTTGCTAAACATTTTAGGTGAAGAAGAGAGAATACCTTGGTAAGTTTTAACTTTTTCTAACATCACATCACATAAAAAGGCAGAAGTGTCAAATCTAGCAGTTTGTTTACTTTTTGTTTCACTTTTGTTGACACAGTGGATGAAAAGAAGCTGACAGAGCAAATGTTAGCGTTCAAAAAGGAGAAGAATGAGGCCATCGCCCATATGGCTGATCTTCAGAAACAGGTGAGCTACAAGAAAATGTGATCAAATATGAATGAGCTACTTTTAAAAAATATATACGTCTTCTCATTTATTTCGGAACTTTCTAAATTGTTTTTTTCTTTTGAAGACTGAACACCTGAAAGAAAGTCAAAAACAGTCGAAGGAAACCGTTAGTTCTACAATGAAAAAGATGCAAAACCTACAGGTAAGCGCTAAAGATACTTTTGGTGTTTGTATATTTGCATTCTGTGTTTAGCTTAAGTAAAATAGAGAGCCACAGTGACGCGTCCTAAAATCCGGAAGTAAACTCCTTCCGGTTCCTTCGACAAAAAAGCAATGCAATTTCTCCATAGGATTTTGGAAAATAGCTGGTAATAAGGTCTGGAGTTGAGACACATTTAAGAGACGGATCACGTTTTGTTCAGCCGGATAATATCCACATGTATATCCTACTATTATAATTTTCGAATCATAAATCTAGTCGCCAGAAGCAAAATGCTAACGTTATGCTATAAATGAACTACAGCAGTAGTTCAACGTCACGCCAACGTAAGATCCATATTCAAAACTACAGATTCAAAATGTTACAAGTTGAAGCGTTTGTTTGAACAGTTTGTAAGAGCGCAGGTTCTGCTTTCAAGCGGAAGACGGGGAAAAACAGCGGGAGTGTTCACGTGTTCGGTGTAATGACGTAAAACGACCTCGACAACTTCTGTTCAATCAGGAGAGACGGTTTTGATGTAAGAATACATATTTATTGCCAGGAATACACATGGATGTAATGGAGTTTTGGCGATTAGGCCCCGTTGTGCAGGAGTATCATTCGGGAGGGGAGAACCGATCCGACGAAACCCCCCTAGACACTGGCGGTGGTGAATGGATAGTCAGGTTCGGTCTGAAGGGGAGTGGCTTAGCTCGACCCCGGATTCAGAGGGACAGGAGGTGAAAAGGGGTGGAGGAGGGTTGCGTCGAGTCACCTGAAATGACAGCTGTCAGAGGGGAGAGCAGATTTAAAAGGTTTAGTGGAGCGCTATGATAGGCTTGTGAGAATAGAGCAAAGTGATTGGTTAAGCTGGGGAGTGACGCCCCCATCACTTATTGAGAGGAGAGAGAGTATAACATAGACATAGTAAATGAATGAGTAAAGAAGGTCTTCCTGGTTGAACTTGCACTGAGCTTCATTAGTCCTATTCAGCCACATGTTAACAACCATCGTTTTTCAGACACGTAAACTCTTCAAAAATCACCAGTGGGGTCACTGCTGATGTATTTAATGTCGTAGAACAAAACGTGATCCGTCTCTTTAATGTGTGTCAACCACAGACCTTATTTCCAGCTATTTTCCAAAACCCTATGGAGAAATCCCATTGCTTTTGACGAAGGAACCGGAAGTGGTAAAATGCTAACTTACTTCCAGGTTTTAGGATGCGTCACTGTGGCACTCTATAGCTTCTGTTTTTAGAACTGTCAGTAACGTTTTCTCTCGTTATCTTTTTCAGAGTAAAGTTTTGGAGTCAGAAACACGGAACGAACTGATTTTGAAGAAAAGAAGAAATATGCAAAACTACTGGAAAACGAGAGGTCAAACTCTCTGCAAAACAGCACCAGGGTAACATTTTAATCTTTTGTCCTTCCTGTTATTTATTTTGCTGCGATCTCAGATTCATAATACTTAAAGTTTTCTTTAACAGATTGAGAAATTGGAGAAGTCAAACGAGAAGCTACAGCTCAGCAGGAAAAAGGCTCAGGAAGCTCTCGCTAAGGTACAAGTCGTCCCCTAATCTTCTGCAAAATCATACAAGGCTTGTTGTTTCATATTCTCACTATGACTGCGTGTATTTGCCACAGACTACCGTTCTCCTGGACGAGGCCAAGATCCGTGAAGATGCCCGGAACGTTCAGCGCAAATGTCTCGAGAAAGATTACTCGGCACAAAAAGAAGAAAATAAAACCGTAAGACAATCGGTTGTTTAAATAGTTATTGGTAACTTTTGTTTTGTTGGTCAACGGTCATCTGATTTCCACTGTTAAAGAAACAAGATTTAGATGCAAACTTTTTTCATTCATTCTTCCAGCTGAAGATAACCATTAAGAGCTGGGAGGAGAAACACAAGGAGCTGAACGAGAAGATTAAAGTCTACCAGAAGTCTCAGAAAGAGCTGGAGGACTCAGTGGTCCTTAAGGATCACAACGTGGAGGTCAGAATTGTTTCCTACTGTCACTATTGTTCTTGGATATCTGATGTAATTCCTAAAAATGCATCAACTTACCCCATGTCTGCCTCACAGGTGCTGTCCGATCTTCTGGCGGACCTGGACGCTTGTGATTCACAAAAAGGTGATACAAAAGTTTTAGCCAATGGTGAAGTAGCACCTGGTTAGTTCAACTCTGTCACTAGTTATATGTAGGAGTAAGGCACTTGCATATAGATTCAGTAGTTTTTAAACCACTACATGTTTTGTCAGTCACAATATGATGTTGTGTTCAGCTTCGTACTTAACGATTAATGTTCTTTCAGGGTCTTCCTCAGACAAGAAGACCGCCATAACCAACAGGATCAAACAGATGATGGATGTTTCCCGGGTAAGATGACCAACCATAGTTATGAATCAAAGATGACTAATAATAATATTTAAGATCGTAATCTGCTCTTAAAATGTTGGAATAATGTTGAATAATTCCTCTCCAGGTCCAGACCACTCTCACTGTAGTCGAAGAAGAGCGAGATCGTTTCATGACCAAACTACTGACTGAAGAAAAGACGAGAAAGTCTCTGGAAGGTAAGTCGGTCGTGTTTCTTATTGACTTAGAATAAGGCTTTCTTGTCTTTTTTTCTCCTTTCTCCTTTTTCTGATTAAACATCTGAAAACATGGACAAATCATACAGATTGTAGCCAGATGTCTCCTTTGGTAGCATCTTACCTCATTTCCAACACTGGTTTGGGTAATGGAACAACTCTACCTTCTACGTGTCTCTCTCTTAACATACGTTTGTCAGGATGTCCGCGGGGTCTTAAAAAGTATTAAAAGTTGATAAATCAATTTAACGAAAATGAAGGCTATTAAAAAGTATTAAATGGCATTTTCCAAGGTATCACATTTTGTATCTTGTTTTCAATAAGTATATAAATTGTCCAAGAGGTTGTATTCTACAGTCTGCCTGAACGTAATCATTGCGTAGGTGTGTAGTGTGATTCTGTGTAGTTTATTGATGGCATCCCGTTGGATTTGACGTCATCTGAACAGGACATCGCACGCTCACTGCTTGATAGCGCGAAGGTCCGTTTACGCCGGTTGTTAAACAACATCGTTATGGGGAAATGAAAGTCTGCGTCCAAATGGTTGGAAGATAAGGAGGAAGGACAATCAATACTGTATATAGTCAGTGTGAGGTAAAGTGTGTCGCCAATGTAACCGGTTAAAACTGAAAGTGGCGATGAGGTCTTAAAATGTATGGAAAGGGTCTTAAAGAAAGTCTTAAAAGGTATTACATTTGACTTCAGGATTCCTGCATATACCCTGCACCTGAAAACATGGACAAATACATACAGATTGTAGCCAGATGTCTCCTTTGTTAGTTTCTTACATTATTTGGTGGCATTTCCAACACTGGTTTGGGTAATGGAACAACTCTAACTTCTACGTGTCTCTCTCTTAACATATGTTTGTGTTTTCCAACAGAACAACACCAGGAGCTGGAGCATTCAATTGCAACCCTCAAAAGCGATAAGAGCCATGTAGAAAACCAGTTCAAGATCCTCCAGCAGAAAAACGAAATCATGGTTGAGATGTATCAGCAGAAGGAAAACGCTTTGCAGCAGTAAGTGAAACGACCCATCTTCACTTTGTGATTAGCTACCGTTACAGTGTACAATTCTCCTATTCACTGTTTCAGCATAACTGTTTCCTGAATAATAGCAAGAGTCTTTGAAATGGAGAGCATTTGGAGAATCTTTGTTTCCGTGGATTCACAGGAGACTAACGAAGGAAGAGTTGGAGCGACGCAGCAAAGAGAGTCAGCTGACCGAGGTGGGGGGGAAAGCTGTGGAGGCGGAGGAGCAGGTGAAAATCTTACGGCACCGCATCAATGAGATGGAGGAGCAGATGAAGAAGACGGAGGAGGTCTATAAGGAGCAGGTAGGTGTTCCTTTTGAAATGAGCAAGGACAGAAACAGCTTCCTGATCGCTGACTAAAAGTTATTTTCTTCTATCTTTATTTTCTAGGTTAAAGAACAGGAAAACAAAACTCACTCAAACTGGGTAGGTTGCACAAAGTGGCACAACTTATACCCGAATGCTAATATGCTATAAATGTATATTTTTAGCCTGTTTAAGATTGATTATTATTAATGGAAGCATTCAGATTCTAGTTGCACTCTAATCCTTGAATATCTTTGCAGGTAAATGCTCGTAATGCAGAGCGAGCTCTCAATCAAGAGAAGCTCGAATCATCAAAGCTCCGGGAAAAGTGAGTTTTGGCACTCCAAAGTATTTTTTTGTATTTTAAGGTTATACTAAATACAATTTAGAACACAGTCATCTCTCCCGTGTTATTATCCAAAGTTAATGTAAACTTGAATAATGTACTTCATTTGAATGTAATAATTATGTTAATTGTTGTTTGTGGAAGCGCATCATGTATTTAAAAATTAATCTGAACTTTTCGATCCGTTACGATTATAAACTGAAGCAATATAAAAATGAACCCCGAGTTTTAAACATCACTTTAAATGGAAGATCCCGATAGCCCCCACCCTACGATCGGTATCGGCCGATACTGATTCCGGTGATCGGCGATCGGCCCTAAAAACCCTGATCGGAGCGTCCCTAATTATGACATATCAGTAGAAAGTCAAAACATATTTAAAACAATTGATCGATTGGCAAACATCCATTGGTTCCTCTCCTCAAATAAGATAATTTACTTTTTTTTCTCTTACCTTCTCATTTCATTATTAATGAAGTATTGTTAATATACGATTGACCTTATTTGCATCTAACCGTCTCCTCTCTGTGTTCTCTAACAGACTGGGAGTTCTCACCTCTCAGCTGAACGAGCGACGCGCTCCTCTCTTCAGACCAAACTCCGGACAGCATGCCGGCCCTCGCCAAGGTAACCGGGACACACGGCTTCTCCTGCTGTTTCCTCTCCATCAGGTCCCTTCTCATCCTTCAGAGCTCTGAGAACAGGAGGCTGCTTTCTAATAATATCCTGCATGTTAATGAGGAAGAGGTGTTGTTTGAATGTACCTCACACAGCCTGAAATGAGGACCCCGTCTCCTCGTAAATGTAATATATTGTCAGCTGTTTCTTTTCTATTAGTAAACAGATGGTTTGATCATAACAGGTGATTCTTACGGGCCCTCTCCTGTGAGTGGGGGTGCACCCTCCCCTCCTATAATGATAGAGGGTCCCAGGCGCCCTCCTTCTGCCCCAGTGGGGCGAAGAGTTGACCCGTATGGTGAGTCCCAGTGGATTACTTCACCCTCTTTATCCTCGCCTCGGTTGGACTTCATCCCTCCACCACCACCTTTGTCTCCTTGAGTCTTCCTCCTTTTGCACACCTCACTTCATCTCCTCGTCAGAACTTGCACCTTCTTGATTTCTCCCTTTTTTATTTCCTTCATGTCAGTGTGTTACTTCCTGGTTCCTCTTTCTTCAACCCACTACTTCCTGCTTCCTGTTTCTTTAAGTTGAATCATTTCTTTTGGTGTTGCTGTTAAAATGGTCTTCACCTTTTGATCTTTAAAGCCCTTTAAAACACAATTTCTCATCGTAAGAAAACTACAAATAAACAAAGTGATGTGTTCTTCTACATTTTAACTCGGATTGTTAATGGTGCTCGAGTAGATCATTACAGATAATTCATTTTCATGTAATCGTTTATTTGAACAGGGACAGTGCACATTGATTAACACTTTAAACAAATAATGCTTCAAATGTAAATATGCCAGATTTTAGCTTTGAGCTCATTTCCATCCGTAGTCCCTCTCATACAACATTTAAGAACATAACATTTATATACATAGCAAAAATAAATACATGATATGCAGAAAGAGCATGAGCAGTATAGACAAGCATTTACCACATGGCAGTACAATGTAGCAGCAACGACACATTAAGTGCAGAGGAGATACCCCTGTGTTAAAGTGCATTTAGCGGTGATTACACGTCTGTTTGTTTCTCAACCATTCTTTGAGTTGACCTTTAAAACTATTGAGAGTGGGACAATCCAGTATCTCAGTTCAATTAGAAACCACATTTTTAGGGGCTTTAAATTCATCAAGAATGCTTTGTTCCTCTGTCTATTGTCCTCATGAGGTAGAGATGACCAATCTTTGCTCCGGTTATATTGAGTTCCCTGCTCGTTTGTCCCCGTGTCCTCCCTGGACATGAGCTACAGGGACAGTCTTGAGGGATTTAGTTCATCGTGCGTTTTCCCCTCCCCTCAGGTCCACGACCTCCCTCAGATCCACACGGCCGCTACGCTGAGAACAAACACATCCCGGGGATGGGTAAGTCGTCTACAGTCTCTCTGTTTCCAATATTTCACCATCATCTCTGAACCTTCTTACTCACCCTGTGCTGTTTCTCCTCTTTCAGACATGATGGGCCCCCGCAGCTCATCACCCACCAACATGGATGTGTCGGTAAGTTTTTTTTATTCCTAATAAAATCTGATCATTTTTACGTGTTACCTTCCCTCACTGCCTCTGAAGGGCTGAAGCTCCTACCCACATGTGTGTGTCCTTGCTCTGAAACAGACACAGGCAGTAGATCCTCAGATTAAAGCAGAGGCGGAGGCTGCGGCCTCCACAGAGAGCCCAGAGCCAGTGAGTATAGAGGCTCCGCCCCCGAAACTGCATCTGGGGAGATTTGAGGCGTTGTGCTTCACTGGGGCTTAACTGTTTGGGCTGAGTGTGGTTTCCTCTGTCCTCACAGCACGGAGAGGAACTAAGAATGTTCTCATTGAGTCTAATATTTGGGTTGTTGAAAGTTGTGTGTCAGAGGTCGGGTTTTTGTGAAGGCGGTTTGATTTGTAATCCAAATAATCATGGTGTGAGGTTACTACTGCTGTGCCGAATATCTTTTTTCATTAACGTATGAAGCTTCTATTGAGGTTTTCGGATGAAGAATGTCTGTCCTCCTAAAAATACTAAAAAATATGTTTTTATTAAATCATCATTCTTCATTGAATATAGCTTGTTAGTTTGGTCAGAATATTTAATTAGCTAATAACATGTTTTAGAAATGATTGAACCTAAGCAGCAACCACTGGAATCTATTTCTACAAATATCGTTATGCTAATGAGATATTAGTTTAGCCGAATCTTGTTTTTAACAGAATGAATAGGCATGCAGAGAAAGAGAAAGAGCGCAGCATGAATGTTGACTCTGAATCCGAGTATCAGTGTTTTAATTGAAGCTTCAAATGATTCGGTGCAGCTCTAGAGGTTAGGGTCATGTGATTTGATCCGTGGTGTGTGGTTTGTGGATCTCTTTACTGCATGACTAAAATCCTAATCCACATACACTCACTTGCGAGCACCACCGACGTCTCACTGCCTGCATTTGAACTCACTCACTATCTTCGTCTTCTTCAGGGACCTGGATCCTTCCTTGCGTCTCCAATCAGAGACTCTCCAGGGCCCCTGGTCCCAGGCGGCCCCCCCGGCCCCCATGACCCGCTCCTCCCTCCAGGACCCCACGGCCGCCTGCCTCCTCCCGGCCCGTACAGAGGCCCCCGGCCCGGCCCCTACCACCTCCCTCCAGGTCCTCACGGGCCCCTTCCTCCCAATGTCCCGCCTCACCTTCACGGGCCTCCACTCCCAGCCAATGGGCACCCAGGTATACCAATGGGAGGAGAGTATGGACCTCGACCCGCCAACGGACATGCGTTCCCCCCGCGGCCAGGCCCCGGACACATGATGGATCCTCGGGGCCCCCTACCGCCACACTTCCGTCCCCTTCCACCTCATCACTACGGGCCGATGCCCCCTGGTACGTATTATCTGTTTATGGTTTAACTGGAGTGCTGGGAGTTTAGAGTTTCTGTTTGTATGTAGATAACTTGACCCCATTACCGATGAATCTACTGATTATTTTCCAGATAAATCAAATGGTAAAATGTCATTTTTTTTAATCAAGTAGTAAAAAACGTAATTGCAGTTCAAAGAAATGCCTTTTACATTTAGATTTCTCAGTTAAAACCCCTCACCATATTCAGTTTAATGTTGTATAATACGGAGAAAAGGGTGATCTCTACATTTAAGAGGCTGAAAACAGCATTCATTTTTGCATGAAAAACTTCAATCATCAAAATAGTCATTGTTCCTGTACACTGAGTGATTTCTCAGTTGACTAGTTGTTGCAGCTCTGCCCATTATGTACTGAACTTTTTAGTTTTTTCAGAACATTGATAGTACGCCACAAGAGTGCAGCACACACTGACAGGATGTGCTGGTTTTAAACTGTAATAAAGTCATTAATAACTCAATTTCCAAAATAATATGTTGTAGGCTACATTGAAAAGACAACTTGGAAATCAGGTAGTGTCTTTGCCTCGTACACTTTCAGTTGGTCTACCTCTACAGACTTGTACAAATGAACAGATCACACACTCATGATGTTGTGTCCTTCCTGATGACATCATCTTTTCTCATGTTTCTGTGCAGGTGTCCGTGGACCAATGGGACCTCGTCCGCCCTTCCCTCCAGATATGCGCTACCCAGGACCTCGGGACCACCCCGGCCCCCCCATGAACCTGCCCCCCGGTCCCCCCCACCCTGCACACGGTGATGCGTACGGCCCCCCCCCACCCCGACGCCCTCCATAACTCGCACAGCGGCCCCCGACAGGCGGCCCCTCAGGACTCCAGACCGCCCACGGTCAAGCCTTAAACACGCCAGAAGCCACGGCAGAGGACTTTACCCAGAATGCATCACTTTAACAACAAGATCCAGTCTGAACTAAGGTCATGGTATTTTTCATATTTCAGTTATAAAAAAAAAAAAGCTGCAATTGTTTATTAAAAAAGAAAGAATATGGTCCCTAAATGAAAGCATCAATAATTATGTGTCTGAAGTCAATGATTTAAAAAGGGTTGCCACTTTTCTAAACTGCTTTTTGTGCAATAATTAATTATATGCCAGATTATTTTCATTTGTTCTTTAAAAAAATATATATAACGATAATTTTTAAGGGTCAATTTTTTTTAAATGTCATTTCCTGTGGAAATTATTTTAAGAACGGAGAAAAAGGAAGGTGTTAAGCTTCTAGAATTTCAGGAACAACCATAATTTCCCCAAGCTGTTGCTTCAGAGCCGACTGTAAAGGAAATGTGATGGCCAGATGTATAACTTATTTTACTATGTTGGTAGACATTTTAATAATAAAGAATGCAAAAGCTGTCAAGTGTTATTTTACTAACGGATAATAGTTCCCTCACAGATGATGTATTTTACACAAGCTTTATATATATTCTCAACATGTGTCTTCATGCTCTATTTGGAATCAAATAAGGCATGCATCTGTGTGGAAGCAGCTGAGACAGAAGCATTATCTTTAGTTCATGTTCATTTCAATCAGGTTACATGTTGACATCCAAACGCTGCATTTCTGACACATTTGAATTGTTTACTAAAGTTTTTTGGAGAGCATGAAAACAGAATTCATAGCTCTTTGTTAAAATGATAAAGTAAGGGTCGTTTATTAGATGGGAAAATTATCAAGATTTAATTTAATTGCTTTTTGAGAGTAAAGTCGAACTTTAAAGGTAGGGTAGGTAAGAATGGAGAAACCAGCTCGAGTGCGCTAGAATTAGAAAATACACAACCGGAAAAAATCTGCCCCTTCCTTACAGAGCCCCTCCTCCAACACACACATGACCAATGAGGGCACGAGATAAGTTTGTGTGTGAAGAAAACGCCTTCATCACAGTTGGCATAGGGGCATGGTAAAAGGCACACTGAGGGAAACACATTAATAACTTTGCTGGTCATTGATAAAATAAAACCCAAGTCATTATTTGTTCAAGACAGCTTTATTTGAAGTCATACATAACAATGCTGTGCCAAAGTAACCTGCTTACCCTCTCGTTCAAGGTTGTGAAGTCCAAACAGAGCAACAGAAGCTCAATCAGTGGAAACACCTGTGCTCAATTGGAGCATACCATGTAGTGCATGGGCACGGGCAGGGGCGCCGTAAGGGGGTGAAAAGTTAGGACGATTCTAAGGGCCCGTGACTGACAGGGGCCCCAAACATTTTTAGAACATTAAGAAAAAGTGTTTAAGTAACCTATCATCAATAATTAACATTAATATAACGTCATATTGATAATGTACTCACTAAACTTACGATTCATTTAACTTATTTTCTTCCAAAAGTTTATTATCCAAAGCATCGAACACCCCCCTCTATTTACATGTAATGGTTTGGTCCTGCCTCCAAACGCTGTGCCGTGCGGCACCGGCCGTTTCTAGCAGAGTGAGAGCATGTGAGGAGCTGGGATGCTAGTACTTACGTATGTACGATGTCTCAACGACTAACAAAGTCAGGCTTTCAAGAAAGAAAAGAAAGGAGAGAAAGACAAGAGAGAGGGACTAAAGGGCGACAGTGTGTCTCCCAGTTTTTCAAAAGAAAAGGTGGGTGTGGTCTATGAGTGGTGGAAATGTGTCTGTTAGCTAAGCTTAGTCCATTGTAAATAATAATTGTAATGTTTTGCTGACATTAAAGGTGGGGTATGTAAGTTTGAGAAACCGGCTCGAGATACACTTTGTTATATTCCATGGAATGCTCTTAACACCCCGACACGTGATTCTTAACTTCTTTAACTGCTAAAAAAAAGATGCTTCCTCTGGACAATAACCTGTAGACATCACACAATGCTTTATCCATCCTTTATGCCTTTATTAAACAGTATGAAACCACATCTAAATAAACTTAAACCAAAACATACTGAAGCATGATCACTGGAATGAAATGTAAATTGCTACCAAGTTGAATTCTGGTCTGAACCAAATATTTGCAGAGTTTGAAAAAATCATTAGTGTGATGTAGACAAACCAAACACTGTTTTAAAGTGAGTACTCCTAAATGTTCAGAGCGTTTCAGTGCATCATACTGTTTACCTAACCTTTAATTGAACCATTCAACATTATAACTGAATTCAACACCGTCTATGACTTAAACCATTTTAGTGCGCCATTAGGACCATTTAAGACTTTGTTGGTCACTATTACAATACTTATAATCATTGAGTAGACCCACATGTTTAATTGAGAATAATGAAACACTGTAAAGTGTATTCTAGTTATGGCAAACACAAACCAATGGGTGTTATGACAGGATTTAGGATTTGATGATGGCTTAGTGACGCAAACATTGATGTCTGTTGTTTATTCAGGGTGTGGCTTTGAATACTCTGCCATGACTTCACCAACAGGTTCACATAGATCTGCAACTTCAGCTGCTTTTAATGTGTGGCTGCGTTTAAATTCCAGAAAACAAAAGCCCAAACATTTTATATTGACTCAAATTAATCATCTCTCCAAATGATAAAAAACGGAGAATGTTTGAGTTATTGGAGAAGGGGTTTCCAGCAACAGAAATGATATGACTAGCTTATTGGCACCATTGTAGGTTTCAAATAAAATCTCTACAGAGCAAGTATTGGTGGGTTATATTCAAAAATGGAATTACCAAGAAAATACTATATGTGAATTGAATGGGTTTTGTCGTGGACAGCTGATCCATCCTTGCAAAGTGAAACAATGTGGTAGCCACTAGATAAAAAAAACGTTGTTTTTCACAGGTTCTTTGAATGGTTACGATGACAGAGAATATTCAAGCTTTTCGCTCGTAAATGTGTATTCTTTTCATAAATGTACCACTTCTACCTATGAAATTCTGAGTCTTCCCCTGAATATTACCCCTCTCACCTGAATATTACCCCTCTCACCTGAATATTACCCCTCTCACCTGAATATTACCCCTCTCACCTGAATATTACCCCTCACCTGAATATTACCCCTCTCACCTGAATATTACCCCTCACCTGAATATTACCCCTCATCTGAATATTACCCCTCTCATCTGAATATTACCCCTCTCACCTGAATATTACCCCTCTCACCTGAATATTACCCCTCATCTGAATATTACCCCTCTCACCTGAATATTACCCCTCTCATCTGAATATTACCCCTCACCTGAATATTACCCCTCTCACCTGAATATTACCCCTCATCTGAATATTACCCCTCTCACCTGAATATTACCCCTCTCATCTGAATATTACCCCTCACCTGAATATTACCCCTCTCATCTGAATATTACCCCTCTCATCTGAATATTACCCCTCTCATCTGAATATTACCCCTCACCTGAATATTACCCCTCTCACCTGAATATTACCCCTCTCATCTGAATATTACCCCTCTCATCTGAATATTACCCCTCACCTGAATATTACCCCTCTCACCTGAATATTACCCCTCTCATCTGAATATTACCCCTCATCTGAATATTACCCCTCACCTGAATATGACCCCCCTCACCTGAATATTACCCCTCTCATCTGAATATGACCCCTCTCATCTGAATATTACCCCTCTCATCTGAATATTACCCCTCTCATCTGAATATTACCCCTCTCATCTGAATATTACCCCTCACCTGAATATTACCCCTCTCATCTGAATATTACCCCTCTCATCTGAATATTACCCCTCTCATCTGAATATTACCCCTCACCTGAATATTACCCCTCTCATCTGAATATTACCCCTCTCACCTGAATATTACCCCTCTCATCTGAATATTACCCCTCTCATCTGAATATTAACCCTCTCATCTGAATATTACCCCTCTCATCTGAATATTAACCCCTCTCATCTGAATATTACCCCTCTCACCTGGCTCCATTTGAAAGAAAATCTACAATAGCTCTTATATCTCATCGTACTTGACGACAAAATCAAAGAATACACAAGTCGGAGCTGATGTGTTCGTCTCCCTTTACTTTCTCCATATACTCTTGAAAAAACACATGAATACAAGCTTGGTTTAGTATTGCTGGGTGAGATGAGGTGAACTTCCACATTGATGTGTGTGTGAGAGAATGATTCAAAAAAGTTGGTTTAAAGTTCAGGACGCCAAGACTTAGCTGTCCTTGTGTAACGTCTGGTGGAGATGGAGATAGAGTTGTTTCTTTGTGAGGAGCTGCAGTTTCTTCCTCTTGAAGTCTGTGGGCTTCTTGTACCTGAAAGATAACAGTATGAATTTCATGACACAAAGGCATCCTTTATAATCATTATTGTTCGTTGACTCACAGTTCGATGACGATGGGGCCGGGTTTGATCTCGTCCATTTCCATGAAGGCAAAACACTTAGTGCTGGTGAAACCCTTTTTAGGTTTGTAGTGCTTGAATTCAAAGAAGATAGCTGCTCCTGGAAGAACGAAGAACAACAAATTGTGAGTGTTAACAAACTTTATAATTACCTTTCTGCATACTGAAAGTATCGATTCGACTGGCAATGAAAAACCATTTTTCATACTGTCAACAAACCAAAAGCAAATATGTGCTCATCTCTCACGGTGACAAAGTGTTTTTTAGGCTAACACTGCCCTGTTTCCTATACCATAACCTATGGGATTTCTTCATAGGATTATGGATTAGTGCAACAAATAAACTAATAAACAAATACCCGTTTTGTCAGCAAGATAATCTTCCCATAAAAAAAATACCCTTTATGAAATTGCCAAAGGCTATAAACAAACTACATCACAGTCCTAGTACTTCTGATCTGTGTCCCTCACAACCTCTCCAGTCTCATTTAGCCACTTTTCTTAGCAGCCCCCTTTGTCAAGACACGTACCTAGAACAAAACGTGCCAATCTCATAGGCTTGTGTTAACCACTGACCTTATTTCAGGCATCTAACGAAAAACCCATTAAAAAAAAAAACCATAACTTCTATTACTATAATGAATTACGATTTTCAGACACAAATGAACAGATATTTGGCGTAAACTGTTCATCCATGCATGTTGGAGTGCAGCAGTGTGACTCGTTGATGTTTCTTATAGTTTCTGGACAACAGTGGGGATACATCAGGCTTTGGCATCACAGACAGTAATTGTTAGGGATCAGTTCATTGTTGGTTTTGATCTTTATTGGGAGTTGTTGACTATAGGAATGTGACTTTGGTTCATCTGTCAGGTACCTTTTGGTATTTTCTCCACGTGTCTCTGGATATCCACGTCCACACTGAAGTGGATGTAGGTATCTTCCTTCCTGGAGGCCACAGGTGTGTCCTGCACTGGGTATACATCTAAGCCGTTCAAATCTGCAGGAGAGAAACACAGAACATGCGCTTGATGTTTTTGGCACATTCCGAAATGTTATCCTCAGATTATTTTCAGGGTGAAGTGAGTAGACGGTGACCTTTGAGACTGACGGTCATGTACGGGTCGATGCACTGCCCGGCGTCCTTCAACCCAATTTTTTCAATCTTTAGTGTTAGTAGTGTCATCCCATGCTCTGATGGTAACCGTGGCAACAAGGTACCTGCAGAGGACAAAGGTTACGGACATTAACAGTTGCCATAACAACAGGTGGTGACATCACTGTGGACCACAGAGTAGCCAATAGCAGAAAATGTTTTCAGAAGCGTGCTTTATAAGATTATATTGAAGGATTTTTTGTTAGAAACCATCTAAATATTAAAAGTTAAAACAGACTGTATAGAGTGAAATGAATGTTAATGTTTAAAGGGGCCTTGTTATGCTAATTTTCAAGTTCATATTTGAGTCAAAAGTCAACTCTGGTACTCTGCTTTATTCACATTTCTTGTCAATTCAGCAACAAGCTGTGATTTTACGCTGATAAAATCCCCTCTCTCATGCAGGACTGAACACATTCAGATGTTGTCGATAAAAAGGCGTACCTTGCGAAGCTGCAAATGAAGCGGGCAGGAATGAGCGATGAAGCCATGCACAGCCCCGACAGAGAGAATCAAAGAGACAAACGGTCAAACAAACAGCCCTCAGGAACAGGACAATACAACAAGTCAAACTTCCCTCAAAAAGCGGGTGTGTTTTATTAAGTGGTACAGTACCGGGGGCTCGGGGGGGGAAAGCCTCGGTGCTCCCTGCTCCTGCGGCAGCATCCTCCTCCTCCTCCAGCTCCAGGTGCTCCTCCTCACCTGGAGCAAGGATTCTCCTGACAGTAGAGGAATGGATTAGAAAATACTCAGCAGAATATTCTGTAAAATGCATATGAGATGTTTCGTGGCGGACATTTACCTTAAGGGCACTGGCTGCACGTCAAAGGGAAATGCTTTGTTGTACGTCAGAATATTTTGAATGACTGTTGACACAATGAGAAAGCTCAGTATTACTGGAAACGACAGGAGGAGTAACAGGTAGGTTTTTGAATCCCAGTCGCTCCACTTACTGGTTTCCAGTTTCTTCAGCTCTTCTAACTTGAAGTCCTCCTTGGACTGTGTGCACTACAGAAGAGCAGACACATGTAATACATCTCTGCAAAAGTTAATTGAGAAGAAAATAGGACATTTCTTTGATGACTCAGAAAGAACCACAACACCTCCTTGAACGTTGAAGTTAACAGTATATGACCGAAAATGTCGTATTTACTTATTGATCCTCATAATTATGTTTTTGTTGTTTTCATCTCTCTGTAAAGCACAGTCATAAATTGGCTAGACCTTCTGTAAAGCTGTAGATATGAACCTGTTTTGTGCCATTCATATTTCATACAGACTCAAAAACAATGCCACAAACCTGCAGACTGCCACTTCTCATCTCCAGACATGATGCAATTTTTCCTAAGGTTTTCTAAAAAAAGAAAGAAACAGGTTAGTTAATGCAGGATCCTTGAATGAACAGTCCAACGGTAAAAAGAGATGTAAGGATTACCTTCTGCTCCTCTGTGAAGTCTGATGAATGTGTTGACTGGACCTCTTTTTGCAGTTGTCTCGCTAAACTAAACAACACAGAAGTTTGTTAATGCTTTGCAGCAAAAGGAGGCGAAATGATGTGTGTTTGCGCCCCCTTCTGTTAAAAAAATATGATTTTATGATATTAAAGCAATTTCAGAAAAACCCACCCATAACAATGAGAGGGTGTGGCTGACTATTTCTCAATACTCTGAGGGGATATTGGCCCCATTTCTGTACAGCATGAGATATAATGAAACACATTGTACGCAGATATGCAGGGGTTTTTCTCCACAGACAGGCTTTGTGAAAGGTTTTTCCATGCACACATACTTCTGGTGGATGAATCTGGGATGCAACATCCTCCACAGACACACACACACACTCTTGTGCTGCCTCTGCAACAACTGCCACATCACGTCATAGATGGGAAGGGTTTGTTTACTGCTGAGAGGAGCTGACTGAACTTCTTGTGAAGACCATTGCACCCACTGTCTACATGCTGTAATCTCCCTGCACATCTAAGGTTTTTTAAGGAAAAGTGGGGAAAAAAGCATGCCCTGCAGAATAAAACAGCTGTATGGAGAGGCAGGATACACATGTTGAATGTGACTTACATTTGGTATTCATCTATAGCCTCCACTAATTGTCCCCAGGAGTCAAAGTCTGTGCCTTTCCTAAAACTGGCGTGCCATTTCTGAATAGTCTTGTTGACATCAGACATGTTGGCGGGGCGGATACTGGCGGCTCTCTCAGGGCAGCATAGCCGGGGAGGAGGCTCATCTACGGGGCTTCAGCGGCGGTGGCAGCGGCGTCTTCAGGCCGGTTCTCTGCTGCTCCGGAGCCGCACAGATACACCAGTGACAACCCGACCAAGCCCTTTCTGCCTACAGTATCGCATCCGCAGGAGAAAGGAAGTCCCGCCCGGGGAAGAGGGGTGCGCTCGTTATGGGAGACAGGGTACCCCGAGTGGACGGCAACAGGATGTGTGTGGTTGCAAAAAGCAAGGTCTTTCAATTTAAAGGCGCAATCAGTATTTTTGGGAGAGTATACATTTGCTAGGAGCAGCGATGGAAGAAATACTCTGTAAAAATCGGAAGTGGAAGGAAAGTCTTTCATGCACATTTTTGTAAAAATAAAACACAACCTTGTGATGGAAAACAAATAATGTAAGTAATTATATTAACGTATTTTGTATGATACTGATGTTGTTTTGAGATACTTTTACATTTTAAGAAAGTTCTCATTATTCTTTATATTATTTAACTATTTATTCGTTTGCTTTTTTTTCTTCATAAATAATATTTTTTTTTTTATTAATGCATACCTAGCTGTTAACAAATGATGTGACATGTTTGTATTTTACCTTTAAAGTGGAGTTAGTTACCAAGGTAATTTAATGTCGACTGGTCAATTCATTTAAATTAAAGATCAGTTTCACTCGCGCTTTTATTTTGGAAACAAACAAACTGTTTCCGGTTTGGCACCGTAATTCTCTAGCTTGACATCGTGGTGGCTAACGTTAGCTACAGGTTCGCTATGAAGGAACTACACAGTTAGCGATGTGTTTCAGGTCGTTGTAGCCATGGATGTATAGCCCCTGACAGGATGAAATAAGATGGACCCTGTAACAACAGACTTGTCTGCGGCTGAGGAGGATGTATATTCAGACTCTGAGGTTTTATGTTTGATGAGAGTCGGAAGATATACAGACTGGCTTCGCTTGTTTGAAAACACTGAGGTGCAGTTTGCTAATGCTAGCTAACTAACGCTAGTTAATTTACCACGTAATAAAACTTTATCAAGTTTAGGATTCTTCACATGAAATACATTCCTGGTTTACTTTTATTGTTGTCGTTCTCTTTGTATATCGTTATGTACATGAACTGTAAGCTGCACAGTAACTGACTGTTGACGTGTTTGACTCTAGATAACCATAGGACGGGGTCTCGATGTAACTTACCAAGTGCTGTCTCCAAGCTGTGCTCTGATGATCTCCAGACTGCACTGCACATTCAAGCAAAGGGAAGATGGACAGTGGACAGTCACAGACAAGAAGGTAAGGTTAAAGTCTTTATTAGGATTTTTCTTTTTTTGATTTTGCTACATACACAAATTATATGTAATGAGCAAATCATTAAAGGTGTAGAAAATACAGACAAAAACCATAGGGACTAGAGTCTATGATAAAGGACCTTTTTATGGTAATGACTTTATATTAGAACTGCAAGTGGAAACTGATTCATTATTATTATTATTCAGTTATTTTTCATGAAAAAAGCGCAGACTTTTCAGCCTCTCAAATATAGTAATTTCCTAATTTTATTTTTTATTATATTACAATAAAATTAATATATTTTGGTTTTGGACTGAAAAACAAGTGACTGATTGTAGCTACCTTTTTAAATATTTGCACAGCTGTCCAGTTTCTGTAACAATACTGCACATATTTGATTGTATTATCAGAGTATTTTGTCATTTTATACTGTACGTAGTTTTTTTGGTATATCCATATTTAATGTAATTATTTCTCTATAGTTTATTGCTATAATAGTTTATATTATACTTGAATTTTTTGGACCTTTTTTCTTACAATTTATCTTCTTTATTTGTGTTTATGTATGCACTGTACACACCAAGGAAAGTTCCTGGTATGTGTTATCCTACTAGCGATAAACTGTTAATGATTCTGTATCCTTTTGATATTCTCTGTCTATGAATGTTACATTTCACTGCAGGCACTGAATACATTGCTGCTTTTTCCATCAGACTCCCAACGGTGTATGGGTGAATGGAAAGCGCATATCCGCTGAAGAACCACATCATCTGAGGATCGGAGACTCCATACAACTTGGAGTTCCTATAACTGGAACCTTCGTGGAGTTTGACTACATCCTGGTCCAGCGGCGCCTGAAAGACATTAAACACTACCTGACAAAGCGACGCAAAGATGGCAAGAAGTCCAAGAGGAAGTTGACCGTGGAAGAGGTTGAGCCGTCGACCTCAAAGCCCAAACTCTACCGCTGCTCCTCTGGTGACAAGTCGTTTGTAAAGCCCTGCTCTCTGTCACCAGTGAAGTGGCAGCAGAGGCTCAGTCCCAGCCAGCTGGAGGACACCGGACCCAATTTGCAGATGTAAGACAAACCTTGTGCTTAAAGATACATCCAGCTAAATATTGTTTTTTATTAAGGTAATTGGACAGTTTCATCTCCCTTTTTGAAGTATAATATGTAACATGTTCAATGTCTTAAAACAATTAGACCTATATATTTTATTTAGTTGAGTTGTTTTCCTCCTAAAGAATATTTAAACCTATTAAAATCTGTAAGTTAATAATTAACACCACCTTATTCCATCCATCCATCCATCTTCTCCCGCTTATCCGTGGTCGGGTCGCGGGGGTAGCAGTTCCAGCAGAGAGCCCCAAACTTTCTTTTCCCTGGCCACATCAACCAGCTCTGACTGGGGGATCCCAAGGCGCTCCCAGGCCAGCGAAGAGATATAATCCCTCCACCTGGTCCTAGGTCTACCCCTTGGTCTCTTCCCAGCTGGACGTGCCTGGAACACCTCCCTAGGGAGGCGCCCAGGTGGCATCCTAACTAGGTGCCCGAACCACCTCAACTGGCTCCTTTCGACGCGAAGGAGGAGCGGCTCAACTCCGAGTCCCTCCCTGATGACCGAACTTCTCACCTTATCCCTAAGGGAGACACCAGCCACCCTGCGGAGAAAACCCATCTCGGCCGCTTGTATCCGCGATCTCGTTCTTTCGGTCATGACCCATCCTTCATGACCATAGGTGAGGGTAGGAACGAAAATGGCCCGGTAGACAGAGAGCTTTGCCTTCTGGCTCAGCTCCCTTTTCGTCACAACGGTGCGGTAAAGCGACTGCAGTACCGCTCCCGCTGCTCCGATTCTCCGGCCCATCTCACGCTCCATTGTTCCCTCACTCGAGAACAAGACCCCGAGATACTTGAACTCCTTCACTTGGGGTAAGGACTCATTCCCTACCTGGAGTGGACAGTCCATCGGTTTCCTGCTGAGAACCATGGCCTCAGATTTGGAGGTGCTGATCCTCATCCCAGCCGCTTCACACTCGGTTGCGAACCGATCCAGTGAGTGCTGAAGGTCGCACCTTATTCCCTCTTTTCTTATTGTTTTAGAGAGCCATAGTGGCAGGAAATTACAAATTGTGCATTAACGTCTTGTTTTTTTGTATTTTTGCAGGTACAGCCAGAACATCCTGATACTGAGGGAGCAAGTGGACGACACCCAGAGGCAGGTGGCGTCTTTTGGGGGAAAGCCGCAGCAGGCCGACCCGCTCAGAGAGGAGCCGGTCAGGGAGCTGCAGGGCCAGCTGGAGACCCTCAGAGCCAAGATGCACGGGATGGAGACGCTAGAAAAGTCCTTGGGTGAAACTAAGAGGAAGCTAGAGGTGAGAGATTTTCCGGAAGCATCACCAAAAACTGTTACTCCAGTTTGCAGAATTAACAACAATTGCTGCGTTTCATTGTGGTTGTGTTTCCCGTGTTGAAAAAAAGATTATTATATTAGCCCCCTAATATGGAATGTACTACCTCATAAGTGGAGATCATTGAATTACATTTCTAGCTGCACAATAAGTTAATATATTTGAATTTTAGTCGAGCTTTTTTTGGTATGAAAAATATACTGATATTCTCAACAGTGTGCATCATGTTGCTTTGTGCTTGTCTAGCACTCTAATTTGTTTTGTTTCACAATTTCTGTATGCAATAAAAAGTGTAACCTTTTTTCTATTTAGGAAGAGAAAACACAGCAACAAGAGGAGCTTTTAAAGAAACAGTTGGATGAGGCTTTGCAAGAGGTATGTTGCATAAAAGCTTTTATTTATTGTTTGTTCCACCTCAAATACAAACAAATACATAAACACAGTATTTGTGTCTATATAATAGGGATGTATTGTATCTTTAAAATGGCTCTTGTATGGATTTAGTTGACTGATATTTTGAAGTAGTCTTTTAACTTCTCAAACTGTTTTCCCTGTCCTCAGCAAAAGAAAGTAATAGACGAACTTGCGCTGTCTCGGGAGGGCTTTGAAGAGATTCTCCTGGCCAAAAACAAAGAGCTCGAAGTGTCAAAGGTATGGCAATATTTAAAATAATTTTAAACATGCTTGATGCGTTCTACGGCATGGCATCAGCAAAGCTTTATTCATATATTTTTTTTGCAGGAGGAGAAAGAACAGGCGAGGGCCCAGAAAGAGGAAGTAGTTACACAAGTGACTGAAGTTCTGGAGAACGAGCTTCAGTGCATCATCTGCTCCGAGCTCTTCATTGAGGTAGGATTCAGAGAAGCATGGTGTTGAAATCTAATCATTAACTTGTACTTTTTCAGGTGATTCAGAAGATTGTGAACCTTTGAGCTGTATTGATCCCTCCTGCAGGCAGTCATCCTGAACTGCGCTCACAGCTTCTGCAGTCACTGCATCAAGCAGTGGCGCAAAAAGAAGGACGAGTGTCCCATCTGCCGCCGGGCCATCCAGTCCCAGACCCGCTGCCTGGCCCTGGACAACTGCATCGACAGCATGGTGGAGAACCTGAGCCTGGACATGAAGTCGAGGCGGCAGACCCTCATCACTGAGAGGAAAGGTGAGAGGTGTGTCATCGACATTGCCGATTATCTTACTATTGATAAAGTTAGAGACACAGTTTTTGTTTTTAAAGAGTTGGGAGAAAGAAGTCATACGTAATGGTTGCCGGTGAACTGTATTTTTGTACTTTACAATTTCTTTACACATAAGTATTACACAAATAACTCAAAGTAAGCTTGTGACAAAAGGGTCATTATCTCAGGTCAGTGGACAGCCTTGAATACTGTAAGGGAGACGTTCAGTGAGAACAGGAATCATTCAACAGGAAGAAGTTGAATATTCTATCAGCCTTTTGGGAGTGGTGTGTTTTGAACACAAATCATCCTCTCAGTCGGTGTGGTTGCTTCTTAGA